CATGTGTGCACACATGGAACAGCCCTGCCCAGAGACACACTTGGCTCCAGCAGCCCCATTGTGGGGACAACTGTGCTCCAGTGATCCCTTCCTGGGGACACACCAGGCTCCAGTGGCCCTGTTGCAGGCACAGCCAGGCTTCAGTGAGCCCATCACAGGGACAGCTGGGAGTGCTGGGGTCTCCGCACCATGGCGGTACCAGCACAGCTGTCTGATCCTCTCACCCCTCGCCGTTTGATGGCGTCCCTCAGCAGCCCCACCACGTTGTTCCCTTCCGCGCCGGAGGCTTTGAAGCCCTTGGTCCAGTTCAGGAGGATGCCCTGGAATGGGGTTCAGACAGAAATGGGTCTGTGGTTGTAGGTGAGGCCTGGGAACCCCTAAGCCCTCTTGCTCCCTGGCCACCCCCTCACCTTGTCGATATCCTCGTGCCGCACAGGGAAGGAGAAGGTGAAGCCCAGGGGCAGCTTTTTGTGCTTCATCTGGTGCTTGTCCAGGAAATCAGAGATGCACTCGGAGATGTAGTCAAAAAGCTGGAAGACAGGGGGTCCAGCCTTTCCCAAGGGATGTCCCCACCCTCCTATTGCTCTTGGACAGATGCTGTCCCCCACCATGGGCTCCCCAGGCCTGGCCACCCCCCAGCTTCCGCTGGCTGGATGGATGGGGGTGTCCCCTCCAGTGTTCCCACTGAAACATACACAATGAAAGGGGCTGGGGCAGGATGGGATGCCCCGTGTGCTACAACTGACCATCTCAGCCGTCCCGGTCATGGCATCCTCTGGGATGGAATACATCTGGTGCTTCGTCTTCACCTTCCACTGCCCCTCCTCCCCCTCGCCCACCTTCACCAGCATCACACGGAAATTGGTGCCACCCAGGTCCAGTGACAGGAAATCTCCCACCTCTGCAAAGCCAGGGAGAGGGGGAGAAGGTGATGGGCTCTTGGTAGGCTCAGCCTTCCACATGGAGCTTGACGGGGTCAGAGGAAGGGGTGACACACAAGGGACAGGGAGTGACACCGTACCAGAGCCCTCAGGGGTGGAACGGACATAGGTGGGCAGCATTTTGACAGAGGCTTCCTCATGTGTCTCCAGTTTGAGCCCTCGGTCCATCTCCTTCTGCATCCGGTACATCACCTTCTTCAGGTCCTCCTCCTTCAGATGAAACTCCGACAGGATCTGCTCCACCTGCACACCACACAGCATCAGCCAGGGACTAAGGATACTGGATGCAAGGGGCCTGAACTGCAAGAAATATCCAAATTTCCCTTCTGCCAGCCCTGGTTTTCCCCATCAGCACACGGACACCCTGAAATGACTTATCCTATTACTCTGTTTTTGTCCTCCCACTAAACAGAGGCACCAGGGAATCTATAGGACCATCACAAGGCACCAAGTCCCCTTCTGGTGCTGCCTGCAGGATGCCACAGTCAGCTCTGGGGTCCCTCAGGAGCAGGGTTGGCACTGGGGTTCTGCCATCCCTGTCACCCGGTTGAAGTTTTTGGATGGTTGTGTAGAAGCCAGGATCACTCCAATGGTGACCTGGGACATCCCATCCTGATGAATCCCAGGGTCATTCCCAACAAGGAGTGCTTCTGGTCATGCCATTAAGGAGCACAAGGATATCCTTTTATGATGAGATTCTTTTATCAAGGGATTCTTTTATTATCAATATGCTGGTGTATCTTCCTTATTTCCCAGGAGCATCCCTCTCCCTATATCCCACTGGGAATTGTGGGTACCATTTTTCACCCATCAAATGTGGGGCTAATATGGGGCAGAGGGCAAGCAGGTGGGAATATTCTTGGGGATTGCTGCCTTGTCTCGCTGCCAGGGAAAGCCACAGGGCCCACTCCAGGGAAGCACCTGGCAAGCAGGATCTGTGTTTATCCTTTCCGTAGCAACCCCAGGCTTGGAGCAGCCTCCATTAGCTGGCAGGGCTGGGGCCAGGTGCCTCGGCTGTCAGATGGAGCTGGAGCCAGCACTCCTCTGCCAGCTGCAGTCGGCAGCATTAGGGCTCATTAGTCACCGGGCTCCAGGTAGGCTCCAAAGCTCTTGCCAGCACACTGATGTTTGCCTCGAGGCTGCTGCTGTTTCCTGACAGTTTTTGGGGTAGGGGGCTCAGTAAAGCTTTTGGGGTGTGGTTTGGAGCATCCCAACACTGAGGGCACCCCTTGCCATGGCTCAGTCCATCTGCCTTCTGTCCTGGCACATCACCTGGCCCCCAATGCCATGCTGAAGCACAGAGCCCCCTGGCATGGGGCTGGGCACCTACAACAACATTGTGGTGAGGTTTGCCCTGATCCAGAGGATGTTTGGCCCAGAATGACTGGAAAAATCCTGCCAGAAAAAGCATGGAGCTGGATTTGATCATCTCTCCTGGGTTGTTGGCTGAAGGCATTCAGTGTTAATCCATCCCATGGCACCGCTTGGCATGGGAGCACCAGATCTGCCACAGCCGGAGGATCCCCGTCCCAAGGCTGGCACCAAATTTTATTTCTCCAATGTTTTTTCCATCTCGGCACCACATGTCCCTACTCATCTCTTCACTTGCCTTCAAAACAATGGGTTTGGCCCTTCCCTGGCAGGATTTGGGTCTTCCCACATGACGTTATCTGGCTCTCAGCTTCTCATGGAAATGGTATACTCCAGTGCATCCCACAAATGGGATGGAGCTGGGAACCACATGGCTGCTGGCTGCAGTGGCCAGTGACACCCATCTCTGCTGGTCCCGCATGTGCCGTGTCCCCTCGGTGTCCCCTCGGTGTCCCAGCTGGCAGCAGGGAATGTCTCCACTGTCCTCGCCTATGACCCCATGAGCTCAGTCCATCTGGGAGAGGATGCTTCCCACAAACAACTGTTTTTTGACTGGGGATGAGCCACGTGCCATCCTGCTGGGTGCCTCAGTGACAGTGATAACAGCCAGCTGAAGGAGGTGACAAGCCCCGTCTCATCCTGGGGATGCAGCTGTGATGCTGCAAGATGCCCGGGGCGATGTTTGGATGGTGGGAGTATCCCAGCCCAGCAGAATGTCCCACAAATGCTCCATCATGAGACCATCAGTGCTGACCTCAGTAGGGCCTGTGCTGGGGCGTGACCTCAGGGATGGGGACCTCCCTGGGGCATGCTGGGCTGCCCACAGGCTGCTCAGGAGCTGGTGTCCTCCCCACCAGCCACCCTCTGGGCTACCTCTGCTGTAACCTTGGGAGACGCTGGGAGCACCTGGCTACTCGCTCCAGGGAAGACTGGAACCCTGGTGAGGATCCGCACTCTTCCTCACATCCACTGGGAACCCCCTGGCTCCCCCGGCCCCCCAGCATTGCCTTGGCAGCAGTCTCACCTTCTCCTTCCTGCTGCTCTCCATCCTGGCTCGGTGATCCAGCATGGGGGCAGGTGGTGGGGTGGGGTGGGCTGCGGGCCAAGCCGTGCCCCCCTCAGCCCCTGCGTCCCCACCGTGGTGCCTGGCCTGGGGGAGCCCCCTGCCCTGTCCTGGAGGTTGTCCAGAAGGCACCAGGCTGCTCCGTCCCTTGCTCCGTTCCTCGCTCCACACGCGGATGCTCCACTTTTGCTGCGCTGCGTTATCTCATCTGTTACCCCAGTCCAGCACTCAGTGAGGGAGTCCTGATTCCTCCAGGCCTCAAGCGGAGGGGCAGGGAGCGGGGCCCGGGGCCCTGGTGAGATCAGCCCTGTCGCCCCACATCCTTTGCTCCGGAGGGGTTCTGCTCACAGTCTCCCGCTTGCTTCCTTAATGTGTCAATAAATTCCCGGGCCGGTGCTGGCGCAGGGGCCCTAGCCCAGCGCGGTGGGTTCTGGCAGCCCGTGGAGACCCCCCTGGCGAGTTGGCGAGGCTTGGCCAGGAGCGTCCCTGCAGGGGCCGCTGGCCCCGTCACGGGAAGCACCACGCCCCGGGTCACCCGTGTCCCCGTTGTCATACCAACGGCTCGATGGTGGTGGCAAGCACTCCAGCGGCCGGCTTGGCAACCAGCGTGCTCCCATGGAGACTGCGGACACAGCACGGCCTACAGACACCCGCAGAGGGGCGAGGGCGATGGGGAAGGGCTCCGAGCCCCCAGGGTGGGAAAGGATCCAGTGGTGCTGGGATTGACCAGCAACGGATTGGGGACGGGTGCTGGATTTGAGGATGGGGATGTGGCAACTCCCATTACCCCTGGAGCCACGTCATCCACCCAGTGTTGTGGAAACAGGGGAGTATGAAGGTCCAAATGGGATGAGGAGCACCCTTGGTCACGGGTAGATCCCAAAACCTCCTGGTGTTGGTCTCTGGCAGCATCTCCTCAGACACAGAGCTAAGGAAGATCCCTAGGAAGCCTGGATGGGTGTCGGGGGTGACAGCCCCTGGGGGACTGCGGGGGCTCAGAGGAGGGCAGAGGGTTTGTGAGTGGCAGAGCAGACCCTAGCGGATACAGGGTCACCGTGTCACGGTACCTCACCTGCCCCCTGCGCACCTGGGGGCACAGCAAGGCTCTGGCAGCCCTGCCCCTGTGCTGGTGCCCGCCCAAAGAGGGGTCCTCACACCTCAGAGGGGTCCGAAACCCTCGGATGGTTCACCCACCATGTCGTGAGTACATCCCCACCACGGAGGGGTCCCCACCCAGGGGCAGAACCACCTCATGGAAGGGTTCCCACTCCCCAGGGCGTCCCCCAGCACCCAGGGGAGGCTGTTCCCCCCCTGGGACCCCTTCTCAGAGGGGTCACCACACCACAGGGCGAGACCTCCCCCCACACAGAGGAGTCACCCCCCACACAGAGGGGTCCCACCCCACAGCGAGGGGGCCCCACAGAACCCGCCGGGCGGGCACTGCGCCCCCTGCTGGCCGCCCTGAGGAACGGGGACCGCCTTACGGCTCCAAGTGCTGCGCTGATTGGTTGTCCGGCTGACACCGGAGTGAGAAGAGGCTGGCGGTGATTGGTGAGAATGCTGAGGGGGCGGGGCCAGCTTGGCGCGTGCGCAGGGCAGCAGGAGTCCCGTGGCAGCATCCGCCACCGGGGAACTTCCGGCCGCTGTGTTCCACTTCCGGGTTGTGGCCATCGCCCCGTCGGCCGCCGCCCGCGTTGAGCCGCGACCGCAGCGTCGGTACCGGGGGTCTGTGGGCTGTACCGGGGTCTGTGGGCTGTACCGGGGACTGTGGGCTGTGCCGGGTCATTACGGGGGAACTAGGCTGTACAAGAGAAGGCGGGACCGGGCTGGCTGCACTTACTCGGGGCCGAGGGCTGGGCTGTGTGGAGGAGCTGGGTTTTACTGGGTTATACTGGGACAGCTGAGGGCAGGGGTTGGTTAGGCTGGGCTGGGGCCGGGATGAGGAGTCAAGCGGGGCTCCGGGGGCAGGGGATTTCTGGCTGACTGGGATAGCATTTAACGGTCAGAAGGAGGGTTTGGGGGGAGCCCCAGGCACAGGGGAGGGTCCGAGGGTGTCCTAGCCCTGTCATGGCCTCAGCCCCAACCCTTCCTTTCCCCCAGGCCCACGGAGCCGCCACGATGAGGCTCTACAGCCTAAGTGTCCTTTACAAAGGTGACCCAAAAGTGCATTTGCTCAAAGCTGCCTATGATGTGTCCACCTTCAACTTCTTTCAGAGATCCAGGTGGGTGCCAGGCAGCTGGAACCTCTGGGGGGCAATTGCTCCTGTGTGCTGTAGGCTGGCATGTGGCTCAGGCAGGACCTTGGGGAGAGGAAGCAGAAGCTTTTGGGAGGTTTTCTGCCCCACTGGGACTGCAGTGGCAGCAGGAAAGACTTTTCCTAAAAGAAAATACTCCAGGAGCTACTCCCTGGGGAGCTGTGACGTGCTGCAGCACTTGGAATGATGGATCAGTCTCAGGAATGGAGTGAAACTCCTGGAGCCTCAGCCGCAGTAGGTCAGAGCTGACTACACAAATCCTCCAGTGCATCCAAGGTGATGAAATCATGGCACAGAGAATGCCCTGGGAGTGGGGTCAGCTCTTCCCTCTCGGGGCTAGGGGAGGCCTGTCTGTGCCAGGCTCACAGGACTTGCCTGCATCCTGGTGCCCTTGGACTGTTTGGACTCATTTGAAGCCCTTCCCAGCCCGTAAAACCCTGCTCAGGTTATTCCAACGGCTTCAGGTGAGCTCACTGAGCCCCAGATGCTCAGGCTCCCTGTGTTCCACTCCCCACTCTGGGCACACAGGGATCAGGGAGCTCTCAGCAGCTTCTGAGAACCTCCTGAAGCTGTAAAACAAAGCAGGAACATGCTGTGGAGTAAGCTGTTCCCAACGCCTGTTTCAAATGGTAAAGGAGTCAAGAAATTCCTCTGGAACCCAAAATTTCCATGCCAAGGTTTTATGGAGCCTCAGGCACATTTGGTTCTGTAATTCCAGGGGTAGAGACTGATGTAAGACTATCTTAAAAAGCTCTTTCTTAGCCAAATGTGTGAGTGGGATGCAGAGCAGTGCCAGCGTGTGACGTCAGCTCCAATCCAAAAACACTCTGTAGCTGCAGCTCTTCTATTCCCAAATCCCAAGAAAATTCCCTGTGTGGTTATACTGTGGGCTTCTGCCACAGCAGGCTGTGTCTCTGCTTAAAGAAAGTCTGGGATTTTGGGAAGAGCAGTGAAGTTTGGAGAGGGGGTGGTCTGTACACGTCAGTCTTGTGGCTGTTCTCAGGATGCTAGTCCCAGTCTTATTCCCAGGGGGCCTACAGGAGCTTAGCCCAGGTGTGATGTCTGAGGTGTGTTTAGCTGAAGTTTGGAGTTCCCAGAGAGCTGGGTTGAAGGGTTGGATCTGGGATAATGAGGGCTGTGGCTCCTGGGAGCTGTGGAACCTGCTGGGCAGGAGCACGGGGCTGGGCTGTGCCAGTGCCTCATGTCTGCTGAACATCTGCCAAGAATTTGGCAGGGTCAGGAAGGCAGAGTGAAGTATTGAGTGGGCAGTTTCTTCCAGAATACTGGGAAATAAAAGCAGTATTCCCAGTGGAAGAGCTGTCCTTGAAGAAAATATATACTGGGATCTAACTGACATGTGGTTGGACTCGGTGATCTTAAATGTTTTTTCCATCATATATATGAAACCCTGGGATGATGGTGGGAAGCTGTGTCTGGCAGCAGATCCCTCAGCTTGGGAGGAAAGTGTCCGTGCTCCCTCTCTGATGAAGCAGGGATAGGCCTGAGCCTGGGTTCAGGAATGTTTTCCAAACTCAGAGCAAGTTAAGGATATTCTTTAACTTTGACTCACAGTGGTGGCTGGGTGCCTGGGGGATCAAGGCTGGTTTTCCCAGCGCTGTCCCCTGATGTGGTGCTGTGTCCCCGCAGTGTGCAGGAGTTCATGACGTTCACGAGCCAGCTGATCGCGGAGCGCTCGGCGCTGGGCAGCAGGGCCTCGGTCAAGGAGCAAGGTGAGACCCACCCACACAGCCACTTCCCCTGACCCCACTCCTGGGAAACCAAACGCAGTGCCCGGGTGAGCAGCGCTGATGGCAGGAGCTGCTGGGCCGGGTGTGAGCCCAGCCCTGTGCAGGAGAGGTTCTGCAGGGAGCAGGAACCTGCTCCAGCGTCGGCACTCTCCCTGGCTCCCTTGGGACCCCCTGGGTTGCAGCCCCCCAACCCCTGCAGAGTGGCTGTGCCAGCTTTGCCATGCAAGTCCAGGCTCCATATCCCAAATCCTCACCTCATTCCAGACTCCCTGTCCTGCTTCACATGCCTCCTGAGCCACAGGACACGTGGGATGCAGTCTAGATTGGCTGCTGGAGCCTCTTTAATGACACCCCAGCCTTGTGATTAATTAAAGTTAGTTAAAATCAAGCTGAGCTCTTCTCCCACTGGTTTTTATTTACCTCTGACTACTGTGGGATGGCAGTTTCCTGTCCCACACTGTGTGGCATGGTTGTGAGCCCCTGCCACAGCACAATTTGGGTCTGAGCCCCAAATTTTAAGCCTTTCCTACTTTCCTAATGAAGTAATGAAAATGCAGGTGCTGATGACACCTTCCAGGGTGGTTTGGGGGAGCGGGGAAACTGTGGGGGATGGATGGAGGGTGGTGGGTGCAGGAGAAGGCTCGGGACCTTTGCTGCCTCTCTGACAGGAATTTTCTCCCCAGAGTACCTGTGCCATGTGTATGTCCGGAATGATGGGCTGGCTGGAGTGGTGATTGCAGACAATGAATATCCACAGCGGGTTTGTTTCACCTTGCTGGACAAGGTGAGGGTGCATGCTGGGAGCTGCTCCGGGGGGCTCCTCCAGTCTCTCTGCCCTGGCACATGCAGCACGTTTGGACAGTCGGGGCTGGCCACCTCGGCCTGAGCATCACTGGTCCTTGTTTGCCAAGACTGTTTGTTCATGTCTCTGCCCTCAGCTCATTCAAAAGGGATGGAAGGGGAGGAGGAGGGTCACCAAGGTGGTCAGAGGGCAGGAGCACCTCTCATGGAATTGTTTTGGTTGGAAAAGCACTCCAAGACCATCAAGTCCAACCATTCCCTGAGCATGGCCAAGGCCACCTCTAAACCATGACCCCAAGTGCCATGTTCACATGTTTTTTTGAATGCTTCCAGGGATGGGCATTCCACCACTGCCCTGGGCAGCCTGTGTCAGGGCTGGACAACCCTTTCTATGGCAAAATTTCCTCAACATCCAACCTGAACCTCCCATGGCACAGCTTGAGGTCATTCCCTCTCCTCCTGTCTCTGTTCTCTGGGAGCAGAGCCCGATCCCCCCGGCTGTCCCCTCCTGTCAGGGAGTTGTTTGGAGCCAGAAGTTCCCCCCTGAGCCTCCTTTCCTCCAGGCTGAGCCCCTTTCCCAGCTCCCTCAGATGCTTCTGGAGCTCCAGCCCCTCCTGGGGCTCCAGCCTCTTCCCCAGCTCCCTGCCTCTGTACATGCTCCAGCCCCTCAGTGTCCTTCTTACCATGAGGGGCCCAGAACTGGACACAGCACTCAAGGGGCCTCAGCACAGAGAATGCCCTGGACCTGTGGCCACACTATGGCTAGTACAGGCCAGGGGCCACCTAGGCTTACCTGGACTCGTGTCCAGCCACTGTCACCAGCACCTCCATGTCCTTCTCCTGGAGTTTTCCTGGAGGAAAACTGGCAGTTTTCCTGCCACTGCCAGGGAGACAAGCTGGGAGACCTGGGTTGTCCAGCCTGGAGAAGAGAAGACTCCAGGGAGACCCCAAACCCCTTCCCGTACCTAAAGGAGCTCCAAGAGAGCTGGAGAGGGACCTGGGACAAGGGCCTGGAGTGACAGGACAAGGGGGAATGGCTTCCCACTGCCAGAGGGCAGGGTTAGATGGGATATTGGAAAGAAGTCCTTCCCTGTAGGGTGGTAGGGACTAACACAGGTTTCCCAAGGAAGTTGTGAGTTGTGGCTGCCCCATCCCTGGAAGTGTTCAAGGCTGGTTTGGACAGGGCTTGGAGCTGTGTAGCAGAATGTGTCCCTGCTCATGGCAGGGTGTGGATGAGCTGTAAGGTCCCTTCCCAAAAATCTCCAGATCTCCTATTCTTATGAGCAAAACCCCTCCAGCCACTGTGGCCCCACAGCTGTGCTCCTGGATGGTAACTGCTGCTTCCGTACCTGGCAGGTGCTGGATGAGTTCTCCAGACAGGTCAGCAGGATGGACTGGCCCTCAGGGTCACCTGCCACCATCAGCTACTCTGCCTTGGATGGATACCTCAGCAAATACCAGGTACAGACCCCTGGGACCCTAGAGGGCAGGAGGACAGAGGTGTTCCCTGCAGCCCTGACAATGGCAGGGGAGATGGACAGCACTGACCCATGCTGGGACCCTGCTGTCCCTGTGCTGGTGCCAGTGCCATGTTGTTTCTCCCCAGAATCCCCGGGATGCTGACCCGATGACCCGAGTGCAGGCAGAGCTGGACGAGACCAAAATCATCCTGGTGAGGCTGCAGGCCTGCAGCCAGCTGCTTCTGCCTGCACAGTCTTAGGGGCAGGTTGTGGGGCAGGGTAGACTCACCCCAGGCCATTTCCAGGAGATCTCCTTGGTGTGGGACCTTCTTTTTCTCTTCCCCTTTTTCGGTTCCTCCAATTTTTTCTCCTTGGGCTTTTCCCAGCTGGCCAGATACAAGCACCAGGGCTCTGACCCCTCCTCAAATGCCACTCTCCTTTATGTGTGGTGAGCCCATGGGAACTGTGCTGCTCCTGCCCCCAGCCAAAATGATCTTCCCATCTCCCTTGGGGCTGCAGAGCTGGGGGGGTTGTAGGAAGGTGGGATGAAGGAGGGTGGCACCTCCATCTCCTGCCACAGAGTGGTGTGGGGCTGGTCCTGGAGCTCAGCACGTGTTTCTCTGGCAGCACAACACTATGGAATCGCTGCTGGAGCGTGGGGAGAAGCTGGATGACCTGGTCTCTAAATCGGAGGTGCTGGGGGCACAATCCAAAGCCTTCTACAAAACGGTGGGTGTGGCAGGTCAACCCCTCCTTGAGGGGGCTGGGGATGGGTGGAACGTCATCCTCGGGGGGTCACCCCCAATGGATGAATGCTGGGGCACAGCTCTGGGTCCCAGGGAGGAATCAGCCCTGTTGCCAGAAGCTTTGGGCTTGGAGAGAGCCTGGGTGCTGCAATTCCAGCTGAAGAGCCCCCCTGACCCTCACTGGGGGTGTCCTGCACCCTGCCATGGCTGGGAGGTGATGCCCATCCCAATTCCTGGTACCAGGTCTGGCCAAAAGGAGAGGAGCGTCCAGGTCATCAGCCTTTGTGCTATGCTGGCGTCCTCCGGCAGGAGAGGAGCTGTGTGGGACCCCCGAACCCTTGGGGAGCTTTACAGATGTCTTTCCTTTTCTTCTTAGGCCCGAAAGCAGAATTCCTGCTGTGAAATTATGTGACGTGGAGCCCGGGGTCTCCACCTCCGGATCACCAGCCCTCAACCCCCCTCCATAGCCACCCTAGGGGTGTTCCTCGGGCTGGGCCAGGGGTCCTCAGCCCCCTGGGATGATGTGACAGTTGTCCACCTTAAGGGGACACCAAGGCTGGCACCGGGCTGGCACCCATGGGGGGAGGTCCACACCGAAGACCCCCCCCACCCTCACTGTTCCTGGGACAGCTTGGACCAGGGGGCATCCAGCCATGCACTCCCCTGCCTTCACACCCCCACCCAGGAAGCCTGGAGGAGCCCCCCCACTGCTGTCCAGGGGGCTGAGGGGGCAGGCAGAGCCCCCTGCTGCCATCCCAGGGGCTGCGGGGCTTTTTATGTATTTGTGTCCTAAGGGTGAGCTGGGGGGGTGGGAGAAGGGGGAAGGGAAAAAGGTTTGTTGGGTGGGGAGTGCTCACTGCCTCCCTGGGCAGCTTCTCTCCCCGCTGGTGAGCCTGGAGCTGTGTCCTGGGATGGGGGGAGCTCACCAGCCTGCCCTGCAGCTCAGAGCCCCTGCCCCTGCCAGCAAGGGTTGGGGGGCTCAGCACCTGCCAGGGCCCAGCAGCCCCCACTGCCTCCTCCTCTCCTTGGGAAGGGGAAAGTTGAGCTTGGGCTGTACCGCATGGTGCTCTGGTTATTTCCATGCCTTGGCCGCACTGGCCAGGGGGATAAAGTTGTCTTTGGCAGTTGAAGCCCTGTTCCCTCTCTGTGGCGTCCCGGGCTGGGGTTTCAGATGGACACGTCCTGGGCACTCTGGCAGGGACGGATGCACTTGGCCTCCCTCTCCACCTCTTACCTTCATGATCATTGGTTTTTCCTCATAATTTATTTGCAGTTTTCCCGAGACAAAAACGAAATCAGAGTCATCTTTTACACTTACAAGGCTCAGAAAGAAAAGACAAGGGGTTTTTTGGGGGGGAGGGGCATGGGGGGATATGCTGGGGAGGGGGAGA